ACTATTACCTAACACGACGCTCTTCCGATCTTGCCTTTCCCTCAACATTGATGTATAGCGTGGATGTAGAAGACATGCTCGAGATAAATGCTGATGTCATTATCCATCGATTGAATGTGAGGACTGATGCTAGGCCTGTAAAGCAAAGGAAGAGGCAATTTGTACCAGAAAGGCGGGAGGTGATACGCGTAGAGATCAATAAGCTCATCAATGCCCAGTTCATTAGAAAAGTTCAGTACCCGGATTGGCTTGCTAACGTTGTTCTTGTGAAGAAAGCTAACGAAAAGTGGAGGGTGTGCATTGATTTCACAGACCTCAACAAAGCATGCCCAAAAGACAGTTATCCTCTATCTCGAATTGACAATTTGGTGGACAGTACCACGGGTCATAAGTTATATAGCTTTTTTGATGTTTTCTCAGGATATCACCAAATTCTTATGTTTGAAGAAGATCAAGAGAAGACGTCATTCATAGCCGACTCCGACATCTACTGCTACAAGGTCATGCCATTCAGCTTGAAGAATGCGGGAGCGACATATTAAAGGCTCATCAACAAAGTATTTGCTGATATGATCGGGAAAAACATCGAAGCCTACGTCGATGACATGGTGGTCAAGAGTAAGCAAGTGAAGGAGCATATCGCCGATCTTGAGGAGGTATTTTCAACAATGCGAAGGTATAAGATGAAGTTGAACCCAGCGAAGTGTGCTTTCGGGGTGGCATCAGGAAAGTTCTTAGGTTTCATGATCACTTACAGGGAGATTGAGGCAAACCCAGACAAAATACGGGCTCTAATAAAAATGGAATCACCAAGGAACAAGAAAGAGGTTCAGAAGTTGACAGGTAGGGTTGCCGCTTTGAATAGATTCATGTCTAGAGCAGCGATATGTGTTTTCCCTTCTTCAAAGTCTTACGAGGCAATCAAAACTTCAATTGGAATGAGGATTGTGAAAGAGCTCTCCAGGAACTAAAACAGACGCTGAAAACTCCTCCAGCGCTCACAAAACCCGAGCTCGGAGACACATTATACTTATACTTGGCCGTATTTCAAAACGCAGTGAGTGGGGTATTGGTGAAAGAAGTAAGGAAAGCTCAACAACCCATCTACTATGTGAGCAAGGTGTTGTTGGACGCAAAAATAAGGTATACATTGGCAGAACAACTCGCCCTGGCACTAGTTATGGCAGCTCGGAAGCTACGACAATATTTTCAGTCACACCCCATTGTAGTTCTCACCGACCGGCCGCTCAAACATATACTTCAAAAGCCGAATGTCTCAGGTAGATTGTTGAAGTGGGCATTTGAACTTGGTGAATTTGATATAGAGTTCAGACATAGGCTCTCTATCAAGGGACACGTATTAGTGGATTTTATTGCACAGCTCACCCCGAAGTCTCGGGGGCCAGGTGCTAGCTCGACGACTGTGGCTGACTCTTGGGAAATATTCGTCAATGGAGCATCCAACTCCTCGGGCTCGGGTGCAGGTGTCATCATCAATAGTCCAGACAAAATAACCGAAATTCAATATGCACTTAGGTTCGAGTTTGAAGCTACCAACAATGAAGCGGAGTATGAGGCTATGGTCATTGATTTTGAACTCGCTAGTAGTTTGGGAATTGAACACGTCAAGCTATTTAGCGACTC